ATGCTTGCAACTGATAGCGGCGAAGCGTTAGCGAGTTTATGCGGAATGGATAGATCTCTTCGTCAATTTGCGGAATTCCCGCATAGAAAAATATTACATATACTTTGACGTTATATTTTTTCATAAAGAAAAAAATTCCGCAAACACGCTTAAATTTTCGAATCACACTACGAAGGGAAAGGCGAGAAGAGTTTTGAAAATTTTCACGAGATCGTGTTTTTTTTTATTGTGAAAAAGAGATTATTACACACGCGACGTTACAGATCAGAAATGACATTGTCATACGATGACTCTGACCTTGACTACGCGCGACAGATGTCTGTAATCTATGCAACACGAGCGGGACGTGGTGTGCACGAAAGATTTGTTTCTAACTCACAATCAGCGCGGATAATTGTGATTTTACTCTGCCGATCGTTGTTATTAACATTTCCGAATTGTCGATCGATTTTTATTAATGCGCGATGTTTTATTTCAAAAAAAAATTTTTTTACTATACGAAAGGCGGAAGCTCTCTCTCTCTCTCTCTCTTTCTCCCTTTCTCTTTCTGTCTTTTTAATTAAGATATGTTAATTTGTGTACAGAATTTACGTGCAAATGTAAAAAACTTATTAATAAGATACATTTAAAGAGTGTCGGGATGACGTCTGTCGCAAATAAATATACTGGTCGTCCTTAACCTTCAACTTCTCACAAGTGCATTCGATCATTGATTATTTTATCCAATGTCTTTTTTTCGTGCTTTCGCGTTCAGATGAGCTTAAAATATCAGATTTATATCGCGTTCTGTTGATTTGGCAAACTTAAATTGTTACTCAAATTGTAAAGCAAGTTGTTAAAGTACAGAATATTATTATTAGAGACAAAATATGTACAAAGCAGACATGTACACAATTTTTCACGAGTCTGTAATTAGCAAAACTACTAACATGTACTATAAATAATCTTGACAAAAGTAACATTTCGTTTACGTCACTTTCTAAAAAGAAAAAAAAAGGAAAAAAAGACATGCAAATATTAGCGAAAAAATCGGGTAATGATGCGAAAAGACGATTACGTACGGAGCTGTTGCCGGGCAGAAATGTATGTATGGTGAGTATTCCGGGTAACGTCAACCGTTTACGCAACCGAGTATTACGTAAGATGAACGAACGTGTCAGAACACGACCTAGCGGCCCAGAACATACGCAAATACCGGCGGTACGATCGTTAAATTGATAGCCGATAAGCTGTGCTGACATTTTTCGAATTTAGATCATATACGTCATAGTCTTTTCCCTCGTCTCGCAAGTACGCAAGTTCCATGCGAATCAAGCGGAAGATACTCCGCGCGCGCGTGTGTGTGTGTATGATTATGACAAGACACTTCTGTGCATTAGGTAATCTAGCTGCATTCAGGAACTTACAAACTTACCGAATTTGTTCAATCCTTCCGATCTAGACCGTATGCAACAGTATGATCGTGTGTCTCTTTTTCTTGAAATTCTCTAGCAAGTTTATTCCGAAATAAAATCCGGTGGCATTAGTGTAAAGTGCATTGCGCGTCATAACGGTCTTCTCTCTCTCGGTTAACTGAAAGCTTTTATTTTGTGCTTCGAAGTACGAGCAATAATCGAGAAACCGTCGCGTCATCGCAGTACGTATCGCTGATGAAGATCTACACCGATCAGGCAGACGGTATGACGACCGTCCGAACATCAGGAAGGCCGACGGTCAAGGTCCGTTTCGTGGGACACTCGCAAGACTCGTGCATCCAACCGACAAAACCTTGGTCAGAAAAGCAGCGACAGTACGCGGAACTAGAAATAAATCTTCCGTGCGTTTCTCCGCGCGCGCTGCACACACACGATCGCGCGAATACACGTGCACTGATATACGCGCCGACAGATACATGCAACACATACACACATACATACACACACACGTAGCAGATAGCACACCGATATTATTTCGCGCGCGTGCAGTCAGGGCCACGGTGACCTTAACTACCTTCCTCCGCACCCCCTCTTTCGTTGTTTCCCTCCCGTCCTGCCCCGCCCCACTCTTTCGTCGCCAAGTAAGGCCGCATTCGGAGCACCGGGGGGCGCGGGCAGGGGAAGAGGGCACGTGCCGCTCGTGGTGACGTCACGTGGTGTGCACTGCGACGCGATGCACCAACAGCGCCGGTCCCGGAGATCTAGGTCCATGTGCAAGCGCGTTTATGGGTACGTGCAGGAATATTCTACGGTGCGTGGCGCGACGTGTTTCAATGAGAAATTTTGTTCCTCGTGCAAACCGACGCGATCGTCGTTGCTTTTTTAAAGATGCAGTCTGAATTCGGCGAACGGATAAGGAAACGTGAGAGATTTCAGCGAATCATTGTATAAATCTGTATCAACTCTCTGAATTTGGGAGCTGCTGTTTTGATTCTTTCAAAAAAAAGAAATGTACGTAGATCATCGTAATTTCAGAGATTCGGCGAAAATGCAACATCCTATCAACTGCCGTAACTTAAAATATTATATTTAAGTATAAGGATATAGATTAAATATCAAGTTTGTAATTGTCTTCTCGGAAGTTTAATGTTCGAAAATATCAGTTTTCAACTTGTGCCCGTTATCTGAATCGCGCGCCCCAAGGATATTTTACGGCGCGCGTGCACGACCTTTTGATGAGAATTTAGTTCTCTCGTCTTTTCAAACAACTTTTCTTCTCTTGTGAATGAATGTTCATTTTCCAATAGTTTGGCTTTTTCTTTGTTTTCACTACGTATTATCTCAATAGTAGCACGCGATTTTAGCGAATAAATCAGCAAAATTTGTCGCGATATCGCGATTTCGATCGGGTCGATTGGTCGGATGAAAATCTATCCTATCTATTTAACGTGACACAATCGACCGAGAGAGAGAGAGAGAGACAAAGAAAATCTATCTACTCTTGTATGAAACACATAGTCCACGCTCTTGGTCGATCTACTCGCGCAGTTACGGCACTGCGCACGTGTTACCGCCGGTCGGGGGAGCGGATCGCGGCGACGGCGGGGAGACGGAAGCGTAGTATACTCTCTGTCGCAGTCGTTCCACAATGCGATACAGTCTCGACTGGAACTTCCTGGCTCCCACCCTCCCTCCGCCACCTATTCCCCCTTGTATCGCCTATCGGAATCGCCGTTCATGGATGTCGCGATATGGAAACGATGCATCGTCGTCTCTCTCCCTATCTCGGTCGAGTGACCTTTCGCGATGATGACGAGCACTAGGCGATGAGAGAATCTATGGAACGACGCCGACAACCTTGGTCGCCGTGTTCGCGCGTGAAGGTATTCTCGAGTCGGTCATTTGGGTCAGGTGCGCGTATACAAGGCGCAAATACACGGTGGCCATCTTTCTCTTTCACGCTGAACCGAGAGAAACCGATGAACATTTTTGCGAGTGTTTTTTTTAAAGAAAAATAAAGTGTTACATACACGTATATACTGTTCGTTGAAATCGTTTAATCGTCAGTTACTCGATGACGGTATTATGTAACGTGAGATAATGTAACGCCGAGAGAAAAGTGTCTTGTAGTAGGAAGTTGTAGTGCACTGTACACAAGTAAATTATTCAGGACACTCAATTTTTAGATATCTAATTGCCCTGAGCAATCTTTATAATAATTACAAGATAATTAATAATAACTTTATAGAAACATATACCGAGAAAATTAAACTATACGAGATTGAAGCGAAAAAGAGGCGCTGTTACATAGTTATAGCACAAATGTTTGTCGTTTCAATTTGAAAATATTCATACGACATTGGAAGTGCGCGAAAAAGAGAACGTGTCCTCAAAAAATCGGTCATTCTACGTGCGTCCGTGTCGCGCGAGTGAAAGTCGAAACCGTGTGTGCGAGATATACGTCTCGTATATACATATATGTATATACACGTATAAATCATACGTCGAATCTGATTGACTGCGACTACGTGTTTGTTTAGAATCACGGATGATGCGTGCATGCGCATGATGACATTATTATTGATTTCGCGCGAATCAAGATGAATGACTTTAAACGGCGGCCGCGCGCGTTTGCAATCTGGTGAAAGTAGGAACCTTCGGTAAACTAGGTTACGAATAATATTGATCCGCGAGAGAGGAGTGTGTAGCGTGGTGGCGGTTTGAGATAGTAGTAGATTCGTGCCCGCGTTACGTGCGCACACACAAACTCTTCTGCATGCTCTACACACCGACGACGCGAATTTTCGATAATCAAGGTTCAACCGTAAGGTTGCACCTACACGAATGATCGCGGACAAAGTTTTAGTTTCCTTTTAAGACGAAAAGTTTTCCCGTTCGCTCTTTGTTGTTCTTCAAACGTCGCAGCGATTGTATCTCAGGAGAAAAGAGCAATAGGTAGTTGTGCGACAAAAAGGCGCGTCAAAAATTTGGTTTTTATCCATGTTATTAATTGGAGAATTCCCGAAAAACATCGAGTTTACTTCCGAAAAAAGATACCAGTATAAAAATTAGAACTACCGAACTCTTATTGTTCTATTACTTATTGCGTATCGAAAGTTTAATTACTTTATTATACAAAAAAATAAAATAAAATAAAACTGCACAACTAAATGTGTATGTGCATTTGTTCAAATTTATCATCGAAATATATGAGCCGCGCTTGGTTTGTGTAATTTGCGTTACAATAATTGCTTTGTAAGTACATGAATTGTGTAATAATACACATCTAATATTAAAGTAGTAAGTCTTAGTTCAACAAGTTACGTATTACTGTTATCAGGTTCGCAACCTGTTTGAAGAGAAGTCTGTCGAAGCGGTTTAAAAGCCGCTCGATAAAATTTGATTTGATGCAACAGCACGCACAAGCGCACACAAAAAAACGCTCTCTCGGTTCTCGTACTTGCAGAAATTGCGATTGCGAAAAAATGACCTTGCCGAGGTAAAATGGAGCGAGCGGCAATTTCGCACCTGCGAGATTTCCGTTCGAACGGGTCTCCAATTACACGAGAAGGAAATCGGGCTTACCTGTTCGCTTTCGAAAGTCGCGCAAGCGCCTGGTTCCGATTCGATTGGATCCTGGTTGACTTTCGCCCGTATCTGAAAAGACATAAAGCAGAGAAGCATGTTTTAGCAACGGGTTTGTGTGTCGATCCGTTAGATTCTTCTTCTTCTTCTTCCACGTTCTTTTTAGCGGCTATTTCGGGAGCGCGAAGCGCGAACCCGCCGCCGCCACCGATTGCCACCACGCTCGCCGATTTCCCGTGCAAGCAGCCGAAAGCAGCGACTAGCTGTGTGCACCTAAGATTAGCGCGGGGCGATAATACCTCCAAGGTCCAGGCTTGTTAGCCGTCTTACGAAATACCAAAAAATCGCCGCGCGTGTTTACATCCTTGGCTCGGCCGGCGCGCGCTTATGTCATCACCGTCCGCGAGCGCGCGCACGCACGGCGACTTGGCGAGTACGGACTTGGCTCGCGCGTAGCTACTAATACGTCTATACGGTCGCATCTGCAGGCTTCTCTCTATGCCTTGCATCTCTGACCGGTCAGGGCCGACTCGCGTCGTTGTCATTGCCAGCATGTAACAATAGCGCGCGCGCTAAATCCACGCTTTATCTCACACGGGGAATTTCAACAATATTATAGTAAGCCCGGATCAAAAGTATTCGTCGGGTTTAAATCGTCTCGGACTACTTCTCGAAGATCGCAACCATGTATATATATCGTATTTTTGTTATATATTTATATTTTGTTCCGAATTATAAATTTTTTTATTATATTACGAGTGATATTTTATTCTTTCTCCGACTGCTTGCACTGCAATGCACGAACATCGAACGTGTTACGTTACGAAACGATCGAAAGCGACGTTCGTTTTCACTGGCTTGTTTGCGCTCGAAAATAAAAGGAAAAGAAAACTAGTTTACTATGTTAAAAACAACGTTTATGACACGTCAGAAAAATATCGATTGGTTAAAATTGTGCGATTAAAAAAAAACAAAGTTTTAATTTTTCTATAACGTAAATATACCATCCATTCACGTTCAGAATGACGCTGACCTGATTTTGAAAATCTGTGATTGGCGTCATTTAAAATGGCGACACGCTCAACTTTCGACGATATTCGATACACACGTCCGATCGATTGTCGAGGAAACAGCAGCGGATCGAGATTTTCTGTTCGCGATAATGCAAATATAATTGCTGTGTAAAAAAGTATTGATTTTTTTCTAAACATTAACAGATTCGAGATTCAATCTCGAAACACAATTATCTAATCATGTACATGAAAGATAAATGAGACTCTGGGAAGCCAATTTAATCTAATCAAACGGTACACGTACGCAACACGGCAAAATCCACCCCTAACACTCCCCATGCCGATGACTTACGCAAAAAGACTTATCCGTTGTTGATGTTAATTAAGCATACTATAAGCTATCTGTAATACTACGCGGATACGGAAAGAATTAATCGGCGGAGACACAAGCGCGCAGCGACGTCTCGAAGGCCACACTCGATTTTTATCACAGCGAACTTGTATTCCCATCGCGAAGGTCTCTCGAGCGTGTAATTTCAATGCAAGTTTCAAGGAAGCGTCATATGCAGTTTGTTTTTTTTTTTTTTTTTTTTACATCGTTAAAGTATAAAACGTTTTTATCTATGCGCGTCAGAATTCGCTGCGTTGGCAATTCGAACCGACTAAATGTGTATGAAATTATGAACAATTTGTGACTTGATCATGGGGAATCTTTTGACGACTTAGTTTTTATTCGATTATACGTGCAATAAATTTTTTACTGATGACAACAAATATACACGTGATAATGAAAATATATTAACAAATAATTATTGGAGCAAGTGATCTCGTTTGAGTCGTTATCCTGATCGCTTTTCCTCAAATTAAATGAGCATACGAATATCAGAATTAAGACGCAAACAGACGTAACAGAAATTTTGCGATGCGTGTCGCGAGAGCCCAAGAAACGACGCTGCCGAACATTAGTCGTGTTATAAAAATCATTTGTCTTCGTCTCGATTATTAGTAAGCTGAATTGGGCGCGCGTTGGTTGCGCGAGAGTGCACGTTATTCACGAAGATTAAGGTCAATGAAGACTTTCAAAGACAGCGGGTGAGGGCGGGCACCGCCACAAGTAGCGCGAACACGCGACTCGGAAAATTAGTTCCAAAGGTCACGGTAGTGTTGATAGAAAGATGTACATAGCGGAAGTATCGCTGTAATTGTGCTTCGTGATATTTTCTTGTTCAAATACGCACGTGTGCTAATTGCATTCTCTATCGCGCGAGAAACTCCCTCGATAGTTCGTCGGCAATTTCGGAAGATTTCGGAAATTCCGCCGAGTGGATTAGCACATTCAACAACGAACTTGCCGTGTGTGTACTGACGAAAGTTGAGCGTGAAAACGGCAGCGCCGGCATGCTTTCGCGCCCGAGAGGAATAAGGTGAACGAACATTGGAAAAGGTTACTCACCTTCTTACGGGGGTGCTGCTCTTCGATGTAGTCGGGCACTATTCCCTCGTCCAACGTGGTCGAACCCGGAGTACTGCTCGACGATGAGCCAGACGCATTGTACGGATAGTGCGGTTGATTGTGCGAAGGATGCGAGGATGCCGGACAAGGAGAACTCCTGGTTGGCACACCCTCTTCACTGAGGGGCGGACTCGGGGTGCCGCTTCTCCAGGAAGCCCCACTGCTGCTGCTACTGTTTGACATGCCGCCGACACCCGGTGAGCCGGCAATCATGCTGCCGCCTCCGCCTCCACGACTTCCCCATGAACCTGTCGCAGATCAGATTTCTTTTATATTCCGCTCGTGACCAGAAATCGTTTTATTTTGCACGAGATTGATTAATTCAACAACTTGTTGTCACGTTTCGCAAGTCGTTGAATCGCGTTGAATATACAATTGAACAAAACTAATATTACAACAACTAAAACAGATCAATTTTATTTGTATAAAAATATATGTTCTATAGTATTTATTTTATATCACTGATGTAAATAAGAATTTTCCAGAGCTTATGCTATATTATGTCAAAAATGTTGAAGTATATTATACCGTAATTATATTGGCAGTGCAGTTGCGGGGTGTTGTGAGGACTATGAGGTGAGCATGAGAGTGACATTAACACTAAGGCGGCAGCGCATTCGTCCATGCAATCACCGTGCTCGTTGCTGCGACAACCCTCACGTCCACAGGAGAGCATCCTGTCGCCCCAACCGCTGTACGTTCGTTCGGAATCATTGTTCGAGCTTGGTCGTCGTTTCCTTGATCTGAAACGTTACATTATCGCAAGCTATAGTTTCCGCTATCACAACATACGTACGTGCATCGCGCAACGTTCATTTGAATTATAAACTTACTATTCTACTTTACACGATTTATACTCGCGATAAAAATAACAATTCTATTTGTTACAAAGATACTTCTCCTTTCGACAACCGGATTGAAGTTACCTTTTATCTCAATTGAAAAGAGTATTTCTCAAATGTTTCTCAATTTCCTTCTGAAAATTTCCATTCTGGAAACAGATCTCGAATCTCGATAATTGCTTCTCGATGAACATTAGACCAATTTGAATTCTGCGAAGATGTGTATATGACGCTAGTTTTATACTTCAATCCGATTTTGCTCCGAGAGACGGCAAAACCTTTAGGCGTTGTGGCACAACGCGGCACAGGTTGCGAAAGATTACATTGTGCAAAATGGGACCGAAGTAATTTTCTTAAGAGCGCGCTCGTCGAATAATAGCGCAGAGGGATAATCGACGCCGAAGTTACGCGCGTTTCTGAAATTACGTTTTCCTGAAACCGCACGAAATGATACGTCACTTTGTTTCGCTCGAAGCATCGAGCGAAACCGCGCGTTGTCGTACGGTAATACCCAGCGGCGGGGTATAGTCACTTTTCCAGGAAAGACTATGGATTTCCGCGTAAATACTGCAGGTGCAGTGTACGTCCGTAACACTGTGTGTGCTCCCGCGTATACGACGTCGTTTTCTTTTCACAATCACGAGGTGCTTTCTCCGACGACCGGACAAAGTTACCGAGTGAAATGTACAAACGTAAATGTGCAACATGAACCTACGGGAGAGAGACACAAAGAGAGCTAGACGCGATGCAATTCGATTGCGATCTTTTTTAAGAACTTAAGGCGAGTTTATTTCTCCACCTTTGAGAAAGACACGGGAATCGAAATTCGAACGAAAATAAAATTCTCTCGCATCTATTTCCGTTGTTTCAATTGTTGTCTCTCTTTTCTTTGTCAGTATCGCCGATTGGATTTTCTCGCTAACAAGCATTTGCAACTATTATGCTTTGCATAAAACTACCGTACTGTTGACAGTGTCATTTTTAAATCTGCAGATAATTGTGAAAACAGACGTGTGCAAAATCACTCGATGAGACACACAACACTCGCAAACGAATGTCCACAATAAATCAAAATCTCCGCAAAGGTATAAGAGTGTCAGAAAACAAGTGATGCACGAATAGCGCGCATTTTTTGCGATAAAAAGAATAAAAAATTAGACGGTACTTCTTTGAAGTGAAAAAAATAAGATTTGTAGAGTAATGTTTTTTTTTATGAAAATGTTTTACGTGTATATATACTATTTTTTACGTTGTCTTTTTAAGATTTTCTAAACAGTCTGCTACCTACGACGGTACAGACATTCATATACTAACAGTTAAAAACATTTATCTTTAAGTATTGAAAAATATAAAAAAATTGCTGAGAGAGAAAAAGTTCATCTGTAATTTTATACAATTTCTACTTTTAACAAGAGTTTTGAAATAGTACGTAAAGTGACCAGATTTTTCGTCACCGATTTCGGGACACTCCACTTTGACAAGCAAAATAGAAAAAAATAAAAAAAAAATAAAAAAAACAGAATGTATAAGAGGAGTAAAAGCTATTACATTTCTGTACTCTATTATTGCACGCGTGCATAGATAAAAGTTTGTATAAAAAATTAGGACGAAAGATAAAAAATTGGATCTGTCCGTGATGAAATCAGGGGTACAGGTGGTCACTTTAGACGTTCAAGACGGCAGCTCTGGAGAGCTAACATGCATAGAGCGCGGTCTAGGGAATAGCGACTGCGTCTGGGAGAATGTGAGGTAAGCCCTCTCGCAAGCCCACGAAGGACAAAAAGTGTGAAACCACCACACAGAGAGGGGACGCGAAACGACGACGACGTAGTCAAGGCCGTCGCTAAGCCGGCCATTCCGCGCTACGCGGAGCGGTACATCGAGAGTCGAAAGTGAAACATAGAACGTCGGCCAGCGTAGAGAATGACGCACGTACCAGCCGGTATTTCGAAAGCAACACCTTCCAGGCTGCACACACTTCGCGGCTGTCCCGTTCCTCGTGTATCAACCCGTTATGTGTCGCGCCACTTAGAGCACGAGCAAGCGCAAACACAAAGAGGATTAATTTTTCAAACCAATTTGAACTAATACGCATAACGTTTCGAACTCGAAGTTGGAGCGAAACAAATCAACTTTTACCAACTGATTCAGAGTCATGTTTTTTTACGTGTCTTCAACAAAGCTGTTACATCAAGAAATAGAGCAATTGTTGCTCTTTTGTTTTTAATTGACCGAAATCTAAATTTTATTTTAAAAATTAGTTAAAATTGATTTCGGTTTTACGCGAAAAAAGCTCGAGAAAAACAAGAAAAAGTGACTTTACATCATCTCAAAAACAATTACTTCTAAAGTAGGTAATTCTTATTTGTTTTGATTACGTGTTGATTTTGTTTTCATTTCTTCGACATAATATAGATTGATAGTAAATATTACTGTGTTCATACGATCGCGATTTTTCTCGCTAATTGTAACTGTCGATCACAATTACACGATCGACTTATGATCACCACAAAAGCAACGAATCTACGTGAGTTTAATTTAAAACAGCTTAGATCTTTCTTTCTCTCCCTCTCTTTTGCTCGATGTAAAGGGAAACGAGTCGAAACCGTTTACTTTCGAGGCAAAGCTGTACCGTTACCCCGTACGTGAATTATAGCGGTACAGATTGAGGAATTGAGCTTGGAGATAATCGGCGCGGTCGGCAATTAAAAAGAACCGAGTGTATTTCTTGCGCAAGAGAATCCACTGTAATTCGTTCGAGAGAATATCCTGTTGAAAACAAGAAACATCGCGCGCTGCACAGAAAGCGTCGTTTAACGCTCACTCGAGCGTTTCTCGCGTCCGCGTTTGCCGAGAGGAATTGTTTATCTCTTTACGAACTCCCCGATCACATTTTACATGCAATATTTCAATATTTTCCACTCCAAATGTTCGACCGTATGCACGAAATAAACAAAAAATTTTATTTATTGTATCGTACAAGAAAAACATCGAAAAATGTTGAAGCAACGAGATGTAAATCACGAATATGAATTATCGTGTCAAAGAGTCAAGAGAACAGACCGGAAGACAATTGTACGAATAATAAATTATCGTAATTTCTAATCAAGAATGGAATTATGTATATCCGATAAATATGTAACACAATGAATATTTTCAAGTATATTTCGATTGACATTGAAAATTAACATGTAAAAAACACTTTGCACGCCCACCAGATGTTTCTCAACGTGTATACGGGCAGTCGTATAAACGCATTATATAATAACGATTATTCACAACACCACGTAATATCACTCATGACGGAATAAGATTTTGTAAAACCACAATAAAAAATGTTAATTACGTCAATAACAATGATAGCGCGATTCATCAGTCATTCGCGACTTGAACGTATACCCGAGCGTTACTTGGAAAAAAAAATTAATAGTCTCGATCGCAATTACTTGTGAAAACTTATAATTTTATAATTCACAGCTTTTTGCACCGAGAGAAAATAACATTCGCATGCAGTCGTCGTAATAAAAGTGATCTGTTGGAAAACTAGCGCTAATCATCTTTCGATGTGCAAAAATGACAAGTAAATTGAGCGACGAACAAAATTGGGTCGCGTACAAATTCAGACAATTTTTTTTTGTTTTTTTTTTTTTTTTTATTGAGTCGTTTCTTTCTTCTTGTCTTATGTTGATACAATGCCCCACTTGTTGGATATAATACGCGCCTATAAGTTGAACTAGGCCCCGCGACCAACTGTCCTTTGCGTTCCGTTGCATGATAATGAGAACGTTTGTCGTACGCGTGTGGTAAGATAAAAACTAAGCTTCGCTTGGCAGAAGTTCAGATACATGAATAAAACCTGAGCGTCGACGATAATTACAGATATATCCATGGAAATGTTTTATAACGTATAAATTTAACAGTCCTTTTCGTTTTTTTACAGAACGGCCGATTATTTATAAAAGATACAAAATTAATTATAGAAAAAACTTGAGTATTATGAAATTAATTGTTTTCAATCTGTGTTGAACGTGCATCAGGATTTTTGTACAACTGTGTACGTGTCCTTCGATAGCGTCAGACAACGCGACTTTTTCCAAGTCTTGTTAGTCGCTAAATGAATTTGTAGTCCCACGGTGTTACACAGCGACAACGGATGTGTAAATATTGACGCACAATTCAGGAACAGACAATCAGGAAGTGATCATAAAACCATTAACGGGGAACGATTTCACGGTAACGTCACAGCGGCAAACGTCGCCGCGAAACGCGTATCGCTACGTGTATCGCACCTTCCGACAAATCAATCGAGCTTGTTGATGGAAATTGTAAAATGATATGCGTACACCTGCACGACGACCGACGGTTGCCATTATTGTCGTGACATAACGTTACGCAACGTGATTAGTTTGGAGAACGACAGTGTGAATTACGCGTCTGCAACGCGCCAAGTGCACGTTCGTCGACGGCGATTTTTTTTTTTTTTTTTTTAAATTTTATTTCCGATCAATTATTGTGTCTTGTCAACGCACCGCGCGGCCAAAGAGATTGCAATTCGCTTCTAACAACGATGCCGTTACAGTAGCGCGGCGAAAGAGGCTTTAGAAGTCGTCACTCCCTACGTATAATCCCGTAACTCCAAAACGCAAATTTTAGAGGAGAGCAGTTTAAAAGTTTGAAGCTTCATATAGTTTCCCTAGTTAAGAGATCTTTCGGTTTTAAATTTTTACCTTACTTATGATTATTTTTTTTTAATACTTGGTGACCACAAAGAACATGACTTTCTGAGTGTCACTATGCAATAAACTGAAAATCCCATATGTGACACTTATGTAATTATACGCAGGGAGTGACGAAGTATCCTTCGACAGAGCGCGCGAGCTTTCGTATCCGGTTAATACGCT